AAGCAAACTCGCCTACCCAGCTACTGAGAGAATGAAAAATATTTCTTGTATGTGACTGACAGGTGACACTCCGTGGGGCTGTGAACATTTCACACTGTCTGCTAAACCTGTCAGTTCCCAGTATTATGTCATCTATTACATCAGCGTCTGAACATCAAAATACTGATGGAATGTTTTTTGAACAGTTTGGCTGAACTAAAATTATATACCTTTTAATGCCTTCTTTTGATAAACAATTAAAAGCTTAAATATAAGCCATTTGAGATAATAAAACGTTTTCTTTCTGGTTGCAAGTTGTAGCTTTAGGCATACGCCAATCAGAAGAATGTGGAGGATGAGCAAAAAGAAAAAAAAAAGGCTTAGATGGCTGAAATTAGTGAGACCTACTTATTTAAATATTTTCTCTCACATTTATTCCTCCCATACTGAAGATTCAAAGCCGCTTACAAAGTCAAGTACACGTAAACAATAGAAATTTTACAACTCATCAGGTCCTCAGTTTGGTGTACTGGTTAAGTGCACAGAGACTTAATCTGGGAGAACCAGGTTTGATTCCCCACTCCTCCACTTGCAGCTGCTGGATGACCTTGGGCAAGCCATAGGTCTGTCAGAGCTGTCCTTGAAAGAGCAGTTCTCTCAAAGCTCTCTCAGCCTCACCCACCTCACGGGGTGTCTGTTGTGGGGGGAGGGGAAGGGAAAGGAGTTTGTAAGCCGCTCTGAGACTCCTTTGGGTAGTGAAGGGCGGGGCATAAATCCAATCTCCTCCTCCTCCTCCTTTTCTTCTTCTTCTTTCCAGGCAGCAACAGGGGGTGACCGAAATAAACCAAAGCACCGAAAGACCATAGATTCCCCACCACTAGCATTCCAAAAAAATCTCTTCTTGAAGAAGAGTCAAGCTGCAGCCAGGCCTGCAATGTATTGTCTCTGCCCATTGTTAAAAAGCTATGGGCTTAAGAGAGAATTATCTTGACTGGGCAGCCAATTAATTCTCTCCCAATGTGTGCTTCCATTTGCCTGGAACTATCTAACGAAGGGAGTTTTGACTCTCAAAAGCTGATACCCAAAAAATCTTGTTGGTTTCCATTAGCTGGGGAGAGATGACTCCCTTCAGTTGCCTCGGAAACCTGATAAAGGGGGGAAGAAACAGGCATGAGATCTGTAAAATGCTGGCCCCGGAATATTCGTAAAAAGATTCGGGACCGAATACTGGTTCAGCCAGGAATCCCAAATGTCATTCAGATCAGGAAGCCATTTTTCTCCAAGCCAGTTTGGCTGGAGATCCTGGAGGTTTTTTGTCATCTTCCGGGCGTGGAACAGGGGTCACTGGGGGTGTGTGGGGGTATCTGAGAATGTCCTGCCTTGTGCAGGGGGTTGGACTAGACGACCTTGGAGGTCCCTTCCAACTCTATGATTCTATACCCAAATATACCCGAAAAATACTGATAAGGTATTTTTTGAGTATATATTCGGACCTGATATATCCGAGCACATGTCCCTCTCTAGATCCTATACTTTCTGTCTGCTTGCGCAGCACACAGTCCTCTGTACTGTGCTGCCCCAGCTGAAGAAAAGTACAGGGTCCACGCCTTCAAGACATATACAGTCAAGGCATTTAACGTATAATTTTGCTATGGATCACATGGAAGTCAAACAAAATGAATGGGAACTTCTTCATCTGGTGAGTAGAAATTTACACCAAAACTTAACTTTATGAGTTCTGTCTCTCGTTGTGCATTTTAAATTCATCCTACTGTTTTCAGACCTATATGAAATAATATAAACTGAATGGTGTTAAGGTGTCTTTGAGATTTAGAAGCCTGTAAGTCATGTTTAGCACACTTCCTATGTTCCCATCGTTTGTTATTTATTTCTGTCTCGCCTTGCTGAACTTAACAGTATAAGAAGTTGCACTGGACAAACGTTTAGTCTTACAAGAAGTCATTCTTGAGATCATGGTCCATGTGTAGATCTCCATTTTCCCTGGTAATCTGCTCAAAGACACACAAAATTGTAACTTTATAGTCTGCTTTCTTGTGTAGAAATCACTTCCATTGATGTTTTGAAAAGCAATCATTTGTTACGTATCTACAAATCTCGTGTAACCTTTCGTATCGTTGGAGGACTTAGAACAGAGATATGAATGCAGCAAATGCTGGTGTTTTATAGGACTGAGCTCAAAATTTTGGTGTGTGTTTTTCCCCCCATAACTTTTTGGTAGTGTTAAAAACATTCTCCCATTTTTGTTTCAGTAGCTATCACTTGGAGTGAAACTGATTTACACCTTGATCTCATGGTCATAGCCTTTTGTTTACACAAGATTTGCATCATACTTCTTAGGATTGGGGTACCAGCAGTGTTCCCTCTAAACTGAGTTAGTGTGAGCTAGCGCACAGTTTTTTAGCCTCTGGCTCACACATTTTTGTGATGAGAAGAAAATTGTCATCTTGTTCTGTAGATAAGTAGCGGATTGCAGGCCCTTGGAGCCTCAGTTTGCCTCGTCTGGGGAAGAGAGGGAAGTTTTAACCCTTTGGTCTCCATTTGGTTTTATTATTTGTAATCTGGCTCCCTGCTTTGTTGTTTAAAAAAATGTTCCCGGTGTTTGTGCCTCTTGATAGCTTGCCTAAGAATCGCTTCCTGTCTCTTGTGGTGCCTTTATGCTGCTGAGCTGTCCCCTGCTCACAGCTATGCCTAATAGCTGGCATGGAGATCAGCAATGCCTGTTGAGTCACTAAATTGGTGATGGGAACTGTGGGCCACACGTGGTGTGTTAGGCGTGGTGCACATTGTACACCTCTGTCTTAGCCTAACCTACCTTACAGGGTCATTATGAAAGTAGGGTACAAAATGCTGATGCCTTTAGAGAACGGATTCAGGTGGGTCGCCGTGTTTGTCTGAAACAGCAGAACAACGTTTGGGTCCAGTGGCACCTTTGAGACCAACAGAGTTTAATTCAAAGTGTAAGCTTTTGTGTGCAAAACACACTTCTTCAGACAAAACTGAATATTCCAGTATCTGAAGAAGTGAGCGGTGACTCACGAAATCTCACACCCTGCTGCATATTTTGTTAGTCTTTAAGGTGCTCCCGGACTCTTTCTCTTTTGTTCTTTAGAGAACAGGTGAGACAAAACCATTAAAAAGTATTTCAAAATATTGCCATTTTCTGTTCCATTTTACTTACTTATTATCTACAAAAACTTTTAGTCTGCAAGATGTTTTGTCACACCGGGTACTCTGTCCACGAATAAATCTTTTAACAGCTTCAACGTTTGACATGATTCTTATTTAAGGATCCCGTTCTCAGCATCCCTTTTCAACATCCTTATCCTAGGGATACACAAGTATTAACTCTTAAAACGACAACAAAATGCACATTAGGCATATAGCAAATTGTTTGGCATCGCTTTCTGCACTGCTGAAGGGTATACTAGTTAGATGCTATCTTTTTGCCTTATCTGTTAGGTCTATTATGTAATCACACCTTATTTGTCTTAACAGTCAATAAAAATGAGAAATCACCTTTGTGGTATTCCTGTTAGTGACTGTAATGCCTTCTGCCACGAGCTCTAGAAACATAAATCAGAATACAGGTTGACGTTGTAATTGCTTAGCACTGGCACGTTTTAGTCAAGTGGGGGCATCATTGGCCTTTCCGAAACCGGCAGTTTGAGAGGACTGTTTGTTCATAAACTTGTACTATTGAGAAATAGTTTTAATCTTTTTTATTTAGCATTCCAGTAGCATTTAAATATTTAGTAAATGTAAGACTTAGAATCTGACAAATGGTTAAGATAATATCCAGGTTTTAAGGATGGTTTAAACTTAGCGCAGAAATTTGTTTTAATTATTAAAGATGTAACCTTTTTAATGTTAACAGATTATCGTTAATATTTGGAAACTTTCTGTTTATTCTTTTAAAGAGATTTCTTTCCCGAACACTAAAATAATGATGTTTTATTATCTGCTTCCATATTTGAAATATGTATTTTTACTAATACAGTTGATTTTACTTGTTTGAGATGATAATTTTGATAATTTGTAATGAATTCATATTTCCCCCTACCCCCTTTTTTCCTTCTGTATCCCACTTTTCCTTGAGAAAATTTTCAAAAACTTAATCACGAGAAATAAAATACGATTTGTGATTGTGTATTTTTAACCTTTGATTATGACATTTCCTGTGAGCTTGGCATTTTTTGGTATACATATACAGAAATGTTTTTCAAAACCAAAAATAATGACCTTTGTTATTCTCCCCCCCCCCCTTTAGTGCTTTAGATTTTTGGATATATTCCCGTTGTAAAGCTCTTCCCATTTGACTACAAGGAAAAGTTAGTTTTAAGCTCCCCCCCCCAAAAAAACCCCCACAAAACTTAAGAAACCTTTTGTGTGAAAGCGAGGGATTTGTATTTTGTCGAATACCCAAAGCTGAGAGAGCAAACGTTGATGCATTAAAGTACTTTTATCATTGTACTCCAATTGCATGTACTTGTAATAGTTTCGTTTTCACGGTATCGCAACTCTTGTTCTCGTATTGTGCTGCAGCAGTAGACTTCTGGTACACTTTGCCTGAGGAGAACTGGGACACTGTCTTTGTGTTAAATGCAAAGGTTTGTGGGCAGGAAGCTTTTCCAGGACTGTGTGTTGAATCCAGGGTGCGTAACATGAACTACCAACGATGCAGCAATACGCCTTAAAGTCTTAAAGCCCTTTATTCCCCTCTTTCTCTCCGGGTAGTTCTTGGCCTCTTCTTGTGCATAGGGTTGGAATCTTGTATATCACATCCTTCAGAGACAAGTGCCTAAAGGCTAAGTCTGTAGATAATGACTCGAGATTTGTGTCTTTTTCCAAGTTGTAGCGATTGTAAACTGACAGCTCTGAAGGACCTCAACTGACATCAAAGGATGCAAATCATCTAGTTAGGTCAATTAATGTTAATTCCTGTCTCCCCTGAAATTCTTTAATGCTTTTTCTTTCTCTCTCTCTTTTTCTGATTTTTCCAGCCAAGCCCAATACCAAGTCCCATTTTGGGGAGGAAGCCAAATGCCAGTCAGTCATTGCTTGCTTGGTGCAAAGAAGTTACAAAAAACTACAGGGGAGTGAAAATCACAAATTTCACCACGTCCTGGCGAAATGGGTTGTCTTTCTGTGCGATATTGCACCACTTTAGGCCTGATCTGATGTAAGTAAGAACGCTGTGCCATTGCGTTGAAACATCTTGCTAAATTGTGCTAAAACCAAACACGCTGTTGTATGAATCCAGCTTTATTTCTTGGAATGTGTCCGTTGTTTCTTTCCCATTTTTAACATGTCACCATCCTACACGAGGGAGCAGAGATTAAGAAACGACCCATACCGTGAGGCCTTGCTGCTACTTTCCTCTGCAGCAAGTCTCCCTTTCTCCTTCATAAAGTTTTTTCCCCCCCTTCTGAACCTCATACAAAGAACAGGCCCCAAGATTTATAACAAAAATTGTGTTGTGTTGAAATGAAACCACTAAGCCGATAGTTCTCGTACAAAGGCAACGGAGGATTACCTTGTGGCAAATTTGGTTGTCTGAGTTACCTTCAAGTACCCTGCCTTAATTTTCTTTTTTGTTTTTTGGGGTGTTTTTTTTTTTTTAAGATGAAAAGCTTCAGGCAGTGAAAGATGCAGACTGTGTATTTATATTTATTGATCGGCTCTTTTAATTTTCCGCACTGTTAGTTTTGCGGATTGGATTGCTGTGAAACCGCTAGTTACCGTATGATGCTGTTTTTATGTTGATTTCTTTTTTTAAGATAGTGGTCTGTGGTGTGTGTTTTTTTTAAACTGTTGCTTTTATCAAAATACTGTTCATACCCAGTGTGCCATTCTCTCCCTCAGTGATTACAAGTCCCTGAATCCTCAAGATATTAAAGAGAACAACAAAAAGGTAAGAACCCAAGATAATTGCCTCAGTTTTGGATCACTGTGCGGGTTTTTATTAATTATGAGGTTGTGAGGCTGTAATGTAAGGTCAGAACGGCAGACCACAGAATTTATTTTATTTTATTCGATTTATATCCCGCCCATTCCCACCAAGACGGGCTCAGGGCAGCTTACATTAAAAGTTAAAATATAATAAAACACAAATTCATTACATACAAATGTCTCATAAAATCCACATACATTTCTAGTAACAAGTCACAGATAAATACAATTTAAAGTGCTAGTGGCGATACCTAAAGGCCACTAGCCTTTATATATATAACAGATATAACAGAACATGGGCAGAGGATGTTACTGTTGACATTGCAGGCAGTTGCTGTGGTCATGCAGGGCCTTATCCTAATTCAATTTTGTTGGTTTTCAATCTCCTCTGGTTCATATTGGATGCAGTATTGACTCTAGTTTGTTAGGGTTTTTAGCACTGGCAACAAGTGCCATGTTGGCGTTCGGGTTTAATTGTTCATGTGGCCTACATAGCCCTGACCTGAATGGCCCAGGCTAGCCCAATCTCCTCAGATCTCAGAAGCTAAGCAGGGTCGGCCCTGGCTAGTATTTGGATGGGAGACCACCAAAGCAGCCCAGGGTCGCTACACAGAGGAAGGCAACGGCAAACCACCTCTGAACTTCTCTTGCCTTGAAAACCCTACAGGGTCACCGTAAGTCGGCTGCGGCTTGACGGCCCTTTCCACCGCCAGCCTACATTAACTATGAGAGAGAGAGAAACGGAATCAGTAGGTCTCTTGTGATCATCCTCTTTTCCCTTAATAATTTAATTATAAGCACAAGATGTCATTGTTCTGTAATTATCTTGCTTCGAGGCTTGCGTGCCCACTACTTTAATATGGAAGATCTTATGGCTGTGGTTATAATAAGCAGTGACAACGGCATTTGTTGGAAAAGGGAGAGAAATGGAGATAAAACTTCACATAGCCTTTTATCCAGCGCAGTCAATTAAACTAAGCAATAAGGTGCATTGAGTTTCGTACATTATGCAGAGTATTGAACTTTTTTGGGGGGGGGGTGTAACAAGTTTAAAAAAAAGAAAAGAAAATGACAAAAATATTAATGAAATATCTGTTCAATAGCCTTCTGGGTCCAAGTTTATAATCCTCAATGAAGTCAGGTAATCTAATACTCTTTAGACGCACAGGTTAGAAAGGGACGTTCTAAAATGAGTTCAGTGCTTTGAGACTCCACCTGACAATGACAAGGATACACTTTGGTTCTTCATGCCGCTTCCATACAAAAGTCTTTTACTGTAGTTGCAAACTTTAATTTCCATAAGATTCAAGGCATTGGCCCTAGAGGGATCCATTTTAAAATTGCTCATTTTCCACTTGGTTTGCCTACAACAAAACTCACTGCGGATCAGCTCAATTTGTTTTATTAGCTGCTTCCCCTCCCCCCCCCCCCCTCCATCTCGGCGGTATGACTTTATACTTCGAACCGATCTCCTTTTTTAAAATTTCAGTTTATGAAATTTAAGATAACACATAGGGAGAGAAAAATTAAATGCTCTCCTTTGAGACGCCCCCCTGCCCTTTATGTAGGAAACGTATACAATTCATTAGAGAGAGATACAAGCATATATTTCATAGAGGGGGAAATGTGCAATGTGTGTAGATTCTTGGTATCAACCTAAGCTTGCCTGAGTCCTGTGCAAAGTATTGGATGGGCTTGCAGTATTGTGAAAGTAGACAGTTGATTTGTGAGTTATGTGTTCTTCCTCTCCTAACACGGGAGTGGTGTCAAAACATCGCATTCTCATTGCCGCAGCAACACGGTATAAAATGTTTAGGGGGGGGGGAGTAATAACAAAGAATTTTGAACCCAGTGCGGACACTTTGCCTTCTTTTTCGAAATTATGCATTAAGCCGCTCGATGACCTAAGAGGATTATCTGTGACATCACACCGATTTCTGCGGCAGCGCGTTTAACTTCAAAAATCCTGCGACGATGAGAGCTAATCAAACGTGACTTCAAGGTCCTCCGAGTATAAGAACTAATCAAACATGATTATAAGCCACAGCAAATAGAAGTTTTATTTTTAATTTTATTTTTTAAAAACAAATGCCGTTAAACGTACAAACCAATTAGGCCGTTTTTATTTTTTCAGAACGGTGACTGAGGGTGGGAAGGGGGTATCTTCAGGAACTGATTAGCCCATTTCTCTAATGCCGGATCATTCCCTTTATTAAAGAAGCAATTGTTGATGCCAAGCCGTGTTTTTGCCCCTTTCATCACCTTGCAACTCTTTGCCTGACAGCTAATGCTGAGACTCTCGGTTGCTTCCTGCAGATTTTTTTTCCTAGGCTCGCACAGTTCTGCCCGATAACCCTGTGTGCCCTTGATTGGAATGGACGCAGCCCTGGGAACAATTGCCAAGGATAAATTCCATGCAGATGTATAGCACATTTGACAATGACTCCACCTAACCAATTAAAACCCCATCCATGGGCACACAAGACCCCTTTTGTCCCCCTCTGCTCTGTGACCCCCCTCCCGGGGGGGGGGAAGGAAATTGAAGACTCGTGAATTTAGCTGTAAGCGTTTAAGTTGTAGAAATGCACCTTTTGGAGAGATGTAGCTTGTGAATCAGTTCCCCCCCCCATGAGTACATAAATTTTGATTGAAGTTCTATAAAATTACAGGTTGAAACCGGGTGCAGCCAAAAAGCTTGTCGTCCCAGGTGTCTCCTTAAACTCGCCCCCCCCCCATTTCTGAAAGCGGCATTGAATGGGGAGAAAGATATTTACCTTTGACATCTGACCTTGGCCAATATGTCAGTGCGTTAAATAATAGGAGAGATGTTTAGAATACTGCCTGTGGTGCTTTTGTTGACGGACCACAATTGATGTCTGTCAGTCACCTGGCCGAAGTGGTGATGGGCGTTGGTTTTTTCGGTTCTTAATTAAGAAATGGCTGTGGGTGGAAAACGAGCACCCGTACTCGCAAAGGTAATCTTCGGTTGTGGCAGTAACCCTCTTAAGTTTTAAAAGTGTTCTTACATTAAAACGGAATGATTTTTACCTCAGAAGTGTGGATGCGAGTAGAATTCAGTCCTTGGATCAATTTCTCCTGATTGGTTTGGCTTAACTTGGCTCACAATAATGAGCATCAGGATTTACAAGATGGCTTCCACAGCATTAAGTGATTCCTATAACTCACCTTTTTATGTCTTTCTATTAATACTAAATTATATCATTATAGGTATTACAGAGGGGCAGTGGAATCTGGCAGCTCTGGATAGTTTGTTTTGTTTTTTGGGTGTAGTGGTTAAGTGCGCGGACTCTAATCTGGGAGAACCGGGTTTGATTCCCCACTCCTCCACTTGCACCTGCTGATGTCACCTTGGGTCAGTCACAAGCTCTGGCACAGACGTCCTTGAAAAAGAGCAGTTTGTGTCAGAGTTCTCTCAGCCCCACCTACCTCACAGGGTGTCTGTTGTGGGGAGGGGAAGGGGAAGGAGTTTGTAAGCCGCACTGAGACTCCAAGTGAAGGGCGGGGTATAAATCCAATCTCTTCTTCTTCTCTTCTTAACTTTTCAGGTGGTAGTACAGCAAGACAGAACCAGAGCTTTTCTGCTGTTTCCTGTTTGCTGGGAAACATGGATGGAGGATAAGTCTATCAAGCGCTACAAGCCATGATGACTGAGGGAAACCTCCACATTCAGAGGCACTAAGCCTTTAATCCCAGAGCCAGGAGGCAACATCAGGGAAAGGCCTCGGCCTCTCTGCCCGGTTCTTGGCCTTCCAGAGGAACTGGTTGGCCACTGTGTGAGACAGGATGCTGGACTAGATGGACCACTGGGCTGATCCAGCAGGGGTCTTCTTTCGTTTTTATGAAGGCCTCAGCTTCTCTGCCCTGTTGTTGGCCCTCCAGAGGAACTGGTTGGCTGCTGTGTGAGACAGGATGAACCAGCCATCTTTGCACAGAAGAAAGTGGGAGAGAGGAGAGTGGGGGAACTCAACCAAATGTTAGGTGGACAATGTTAGTGCCGGGCAGGGGTCATTTCGTAGAAAAAGAGGTGCAGGTGCTCATTAGCATAACGCATTAGCATAACTTATTTGCATATGCCACACCCCCTGACATCACCGGAAGTGTGTCAGAAGGCAACACTCACTGCTCAGGCTCCACTGGACTGTTTTGGATTGCTAGCTATTGGGGGGGGGGGAACGTGCAGATCTGTCCTCACAGAGGCGGGGGAGCTTGTACCTGAATAAAACTTGGTCTTAAAGGTGCCACTGGACTGTTTTGGACCAGGGGGAGCCTCTGCAACTTACCTGGCTGCTTCTTGCTCTGACCGAGGGCTGCTGGGAGCAAGGGGTAGGGCTTGTTGCATGTGCCCGCCCCATGGGCTCTTTACTGCCGGAGCTCCACTCCTGCAGGAAATAACCCCTGGTGCCGAGTAACCAGGTGTAGGGGCGGGAGTTCCAGAGTCAAGGCACCATCACTGAAAAGGATGTAATGACTATCCACTTCACTTCTGACAGTGGACCTAGCTTCAGAAGATACACCAAGCAGTGCCCCCATTTATCATTTTTATTGCTAGGCAATCTCCTGTGAAAGCAAGCAGTTCGTAGATAACTTTGGTTCGCTCTAGCATTTTTTATCTGGTCCTGACGTAAATAGGCAGCCATGGTAGCTCTTTCAGAACGTGTGAGATGTACTCCCTGTAGCAAATACCAGCTGGCAATCTCCCTACTGCATTTTGCTGCAATCAGAGCTCCTGAATACTCTCTAAGGGCAGCCGCACAAAGAGAACCGTGGGCGTTCTGAAAACTTAGGAAACTTAGGTTGACACTTTCAAAAGAATTTCAATAAAACTTCATCTGGATCAGTAACAACGATACAGTTTTAAGGCTATTTCAAAATTAAGTGATTGGGAATGCTGACAAAATGTCAAGGGACTTGAATGCTATAGGACATGAGTAATCAGAAATG